TGGGGGTAGTGGTGGAGGCGGGTCGTCCGGTGCCGGTGCGGACGTTGGGACCCTGCCCGGTCCAGCTGCCCCGCTGCCTCCACCGTTGCAGCAGCAGCAGCAGCAGCAGTCGCCGCAGCCGCAGCCTCCGCAGCAGCCGCAGCAGCCGCTGCAGACGAGGCCGGCGAGTGCTCTCCCGCCTGGGTGGCCTGGAGCTGGTGGTGGTCGTGCGCGTGGTGGTGCACCGGGTGGTGGTTCTGGAGGCGGGCCCTGTCAGTACCAGATCCAGACCGGTCCTCGCCGCGGCTTCATTTGCGGTAAGATCGGTCATTCTACTCCTCGCTGTTTTCGTTGTCTGGACGACCTGTTCCGCCAGCGCTTTGGCCCGGCGCCCGACCTCCCGGACTGGCACAGCTTGCTTAGGCGTAGCATTAGGATTTTTGACTTGGACATGGATGCCATTGTAGCAGCCTTGCATGTGATGTATGCTGATGACTCTAGTGTGCTTCCCTCTTATTACCCCGTGTTGCCTAGTGTAGCGGTGCCTAGCGTAGACTCCCCTGCTGCGTCAGGCGTAGGATCTCCTGCTTTGCTTAGCCTTGGTGCTTCCACCGCTTCACTGCCGCCTCACGCGACTGCTGCGCTTTCCTTCACCTTGGACTCTGGCGCCTCCCGGTGTTTCTTCCGCGACTCCACGACGCTGACGCCGCTGCCTGTTCCCGCTGCAGTTACTCTTGCTGACCCCTCCGGTGGTCCCGTCGTTGCCCGCAGTTCCACCTCCCTTCCCTGTCCGGCGGTTCCTTCAGGTTCGCTCACCGGTCTGCATATCCCCTCGTTCTCCAGGAACCTAGTTGGTGTCGGCTGCCTCCAGGACCTTGGCGTCACCACTACGTTCCCTGGTCACGAGCGGTATGCTGTCTGTACCGAGGCCGCCACTGGTGCCCCCCTTACCACTTTCCCCCGGGACCCGGTGTCCGGCCTGTTCACACTTGACACCGCGACGTCCCCGGCTGGGTCTTCCCCCCCGGTAGCTGCGTCCACCCAGGTTGCTGCCGCGTGCTCCTGTCGGTCCCTCACTCACCCGACTCTCCTTTGGCACCACCGCCTTGGTCACCCTGCACTCCCACGTCTGCGTCACATGTCCCAGCACGGTCTCGTCCTTGGTCTCCCCGGTTCGTTCCCCGAGTTTCCCTCCTCCCCCGCCCCACCGTGCACGCCTTGTGTCGAGGGCCGGCTCCGCCGTGCCCCTCACTCCTCCTCTTTTCCCCCTACCACCGCACCACTGCAGACTCTGCACATGGACGTCTGGGGCCCAGCCCCGGTCCATGGGCCGCGTCGCGAGCGCTTCTTCCTAGTGCTTGTCGACGACTTCACGCGCTACACCACCGTCTTCCCCCTGGAGCGGAAGGCCGACGTGCCTGACGTTCTCATCCCCTGGCTTGTCTCTGCTCGTGTCCACCGCGGTCTTCCTGACTTGCGCCTCCACTCCGACCGGGGTGGCGAGTTTGCCTCAGGTGTCCTTGGTCGCTTCTGTCGTGCGGAGGGCATCACCCAGACGTTTACCCTGCCGGACTCCCCGCAGCAGAATGGGGTCGCTGAGCGACGCATCGGTTTGGTCATGGAGGTGGCTCGCACCTCCATGATCCACGCCGGTGCACCCCATTTTCTGTGGCCGTTCGCCGTGCGCTACGCCGCTCACCAGCTTAACCTGTGGCCGCACCCCCAGCGGCCGCAGGTTTCGCCGACCCTTCTGTGGACCGGGTCCCCTGGTGACGCGTCTGCGTTCCACGTCTGGGGCTGCCTTGCTCACGTTCGTGCCTCTGGCACGGACAAGCTCACTGCCCGCACCCTCCCCTGCGTCTTCCTCGGTTTCCCCCTTGACGCGTCCGACTGGCACTTCTACCACCCGCCGTCTCACCGCTTCTTTCACTCTCGAGACGTCACCTTTGACGAGTCCGTCTCCTTCTACCGCCGCTTTCCCCACCGTGGTCCCCCGGTTACTCCCCCCCTGTTCCTGGTTCCTCCCTCCCTGGTGGTCCCTGCCCCTCCCCCCCCCCGCCCCCCCGTCCGGCCCCCTCTGATGTGTCTCACGTCACCCCCCTCCCGTCGGTCGTCCCGGTCGACGAGTCTTCTGACTCTGGTAGTTCTCCGGCGCAGTCCTCGCCGTCTGTCCCTCCCCCGGTGTCTCCTCCTCCACCGCCTCCGCAGCCGCCGTCGCCGCAGCTGCTGCAGCCGTCGTCTCCACCGCCGCCGCCGTTGCAGCCGTCGTCTCCCCCGCCGCCGCCGTCGCAGCCGTCGCTGCAGCCGCCGCCGCCGCCGCCGCTGTCGTCGCTGCCGCCGTTTGTGGACTCTGGGGGTGCTGGCGTTGAGGTGGGTACTAGTCCCGGGGCTCCTGTCGTGGCTTGTCCCGGCGGACCTGGGAGTGGTACCGGTGCTGGCGGGGTTTCGGGCTCTGGGGGTGTCCCTTCTGGGGGTGCAGGTGTGGAGGGTTCGGGAGGTAGCCGTCGCGCAGCTTGTGGCCCTGGTGTTGGTGTTGTGTCGCCGCAGCAGCAGTCCCCGCCTGTGTCCGCCCTCCGTCTGCTCGGCCTTCCGTCTCCTGACCCTGCGCCTGTCCCTCTCCTGCCGTCTCCCCCTCTTCCCGTCTACGGCCCCGTGTTCCCTCTGCCAGACTCGTCCCCGGCTCGTCTTCCCCCTCGTTCCCCTCCTGTGTCCCCTCCTCTGTCTCCTGACCCGACGCCGCCCTCACACGTCTGGTCTCGCCGCCCCTCTCGTGCTCGTCCTGTCTCCCCTGTCCCGCGCTCTCACCCTATGTTGCTCCGTTCCCACGCGTCTCGTCCTCCCCTCCTCCCGTCTCCTCCTCCGTCCTCTCTTGTCGTTGCGTCTCCTCCTCTGTCCGACTTCGTTCGTGCCGCTCGTCCTCTTGTTCCTCGGGTCCTTGCCTCTCTCGTTACCGACCCGTCTGTTCCAGTGTCGAGTCTCGACGCCCTCGTCGCTGCGGTCGCTGACTTCGCCTCTACCCGCCGCCTTGACTACGCCACCGCTCTGGTCTCTGACCCTGCCTGTCCTCCGTCTGTCGGGGGTGCTCCTGCCCTCGGCAGTGACGTCCTGGAGGACCGCCAGTTTGAGCTTGCTTTCCTGTCCGAGGCTGCTCCCCATCTCTGTTCCATGCTGCTAGTCCCTGAGGGTGACCCAGACGCTTTCGACATCCCGACCCCTCGTACTTACGCTGAGGCGGTTTCGGGACCCTGGGCCTCTCAGTGGATAGCTGCCATGGAGCAGGAGATGGCATCTTGGAGATCCACCGGCACCTTCGTCGACGCAGTTCCCCCACCTGGGGTGAACGTGGTCGATGGCCGATGGCTCTTCAAGGTGAAGCGCCCTCCTGGAGAGCCGCCTGTGTTCAAGGCGCGCTACGTGGCTAGAGGCTTCAGTCAGCGCGAGGGGGTGGACTTCTTTCAGACTTTCGCTCCTACCCCGAAGATGACTACTCTTCGGGTTCTGCTACACGTAGCGGCTCAGCGTGACTACGAGCTTCACTCCCTCGACTTCTCCACTGCCTTTCTTCAGGGCAGCCTTCACGAGCAGGTCTACCTGCGTCGCCCTCAGGGCTTTACTGGCACCTTCCCCCCTGGGACCCAGTGGCTTCTGCGGCGGCCAGTCTACGGCCTGCGCCAGGCGCCTCGTGAGTGGCACGACACTTTGCGTGCTACCCTTGCTGACCTGCAGTTCTTTCCGTCCTCTGCAGACCCCTCGCTCTTCGTTCGTGCTGGCTCGACTCCGTTCTACATCCTCGTCTACGTAGACGACCTGGTCTTTGCCACTGCTGACAGGGACGCACTGGCCTCCGTGAAGGCAGAGCTGCTGAAGAGACACACCTGCACTGACCTTGGAGAGCTGCGCCGTTACCTTGGCTTGCAGATCTCCAGGGACAGAGCCGCGCGCACCATCACCCTGACTCAGTCACACTTGGTGCGCCAGGTCCTTCAGAGGTTCGGCCTTCAGTTCTCCTCCGCACAGCCCACCCCTCTTCCTCTGGACCACAGACTCTCCGCTCCAGTTCCTGAGGAGTCGGCAGATCCCAGTGGTCCTTACGCTGAGCTAGTGGGTTGCCTCATGTACCTGATGACTTGCACTCGCCCAGATCTCGCATACCCTCTCAGCATCCTGGCTCGTTTCGTGGCCACAGGCAGGCACCGACCTCAGCACTGGTCTGCCGCTAAGAGGGTTTTGCGTTATCTTGCAAGTACATCGGGCATGGGGTTAGTGCTAGGCGGACGCAGGCCAGTGGTCCTTACTGGACACACAGACGCTTCTTGGGCAGACGACGCCGAGACGCTCAGGTCTTCTCAGGGCTACTGCTTTAGCCTTGGCTCAGGTGCTGTCTCGTGGAGAGCTACCCGCTCTTCGTCTGTTGCCCAGTCCAGCTGTGAGGCCGAGATCTACGCCGGTGCCATGGCGGCACAGGAGCTCCGCTGGCTGACCTTCTTGCTCACTGACTTAGGTGAGCGGCCTAGCTCTGCCCCGGTCCTGTACGCTGACAACAGGGCCATGATCCTCCTGTGTCAGGAGCCTCGACTCGAGGGCAGAGCGAAGCACATCCAGCTGCGGTACTTCCTCCTGCGTGAGCTACAGCAGCGTCGCCAGGCTCGCGTAGTACACTTAGCCTCCGGTGCCAACACAGCTGATATCTTTACGAAGGCGCTTGCGCCTAAAGATCATCAGCGGCACTGTGTACAGCTTGGTCTAGTTCCTGTAGCCTCTCACTTACTCGGGCCTTGACTTTGTACTGTCCTATATATCTGTGTGTACACTCAGACTGGACTTGTGTCCTCTTACAGTGGTTGGACTAGTAGTGCCGCCCTGTACTTGTTCTTGCCTTGCCTGTACTCCTTCTGACTGGTCTTTTAGACCCTTGTCTCAAAGGCTGGACTAGTAGTGCCACCCTGAGCTGCTTGTCTAGAACATTCCCCTATGCAGTCCAGGGGGTGTGTCAAACATGTTTAGTTATCATGCTTGTATAGACTGTATAGGGTCATCTTCTAGAGAGTACAACTGTTAGGTATATGTTTGTGTACTCTCTCTCTCCCTATTCATTAATTTCACTGTTTGATAGTGGTACCTTCATCGCCAGCCCTTCCTGCCAGGGCAGGAAGCCCAAATTCCACTCCAATCTAACTCTTCCTGCCCATGCACTTGACAAAAGGAATACCTTGTCCTTGACTCCTGGTGAATCTACCGTGAGATCCTCCTTCCTGTGTTGCCAATCTGCTCCTAGGCATCTCCAACTCTATGGATTCACTTTCATCTGCACGTACGCCTCCCTGAGCGCCACCTGCACCTCATCCGGCAGCACGTCCAGCCCGCCGCTGTCGCGCATGGCGGGGTACCGGCGGGCCATGCACCGCACCGCCTCTCCCACCACCTCCCACTGCCCCACCGCCCATGCGGCCCGCACCACCGCCTCCATAGCTTCCCAGGGCGCCTGGCTCCATGCAGAGGTGCGGCCGCTGCTGCCGTTGCTGCTGCCACCACTGTACTGCATGCTGCTGCTGACCCAGTGACCGCTGATGGCTGTGTCGTGACACGTAGCGCGAAGCCGTGTTGCCACATAGCACAGGGTGGCAGTGTGCAGAGCAGGCAGCATCCACTGGTCAGCGAGAGAGGCGAGATGGACGGCTGAGATGAGGCGAGAGGTGAGGGGGAGAGGGGGCAATCGCAGGGAGGAGAGGGGGATGGGCGTGCTGCAACGAGCGGCCAAGCTGCTCGCAGCACCAGGTGTGCTTGGCTGCACGGGGTTGCAGGGCATTGGCGCGGCAGCGGGGAAGAGGGGGAGGGGGAGGGGGAGGGGGAGGGGGCGGAGGGAGATGTGGGTGGAGTAGAGGAAGCGGAGGAGGGCAATGAGAGCCGGCAGGGGCAGGGGCGGCAGGTGCAGCTCCTGCTGCGAGCTGACGGGCGGGGATGAAGAGGTGGATTGTGTGAGAATGTGGAGGGTGGTGGAGCAACAACGTCAGTGCGCATGCTGAGAGGCGTAAAATTTGGTTACAGAGACTGGCGAGAAACAGCAGCAAACATTGTAACTTGCAAGTTTTTCATCTTCACACATAATGTGCATTCCAAATGGCTCCAACCTCTCTCTTGCATCCACCTCCCGCTCCCCCCTCCCCCCCAAGCACACCCCGAACCCTGTGCCGCGCATGCCAACGTGTCGCGCACAGAGTGCTCCTCGTCATCCACCGTGCCTCGTTCCCCATTGCCCAACCCCTCCTCACTTTGCTCCCCCCCTCACCTCTCGCGCATGCTGCGGCGGAACATGGCTCCCAGGTACTGGCTCCTGGCAGCCAGCAAACAGCGGTGCGCCGCCACTCGCACACACCGCCACATGCCGCCGTGCCGCCCCTCTGCCTCATCTCCTGTGCCGCCCCTCTGCCTCATCTCCTGTGCCGCCCCTCTGCCTCATCTCCTGTGCCGCCCCTCTGCCTCATCTCCTGTGCCGCCCCTCTGCCTCATCTCCTGTGCCTGGCCCCCCGCATGCCCCATGCCCTCCTTCCCCTCTGCTGCCACGGCTGGCTGGGTGTTCACCAGAGTGGCGGCGGGGGGCATGGCAGTGGCACGGCACGCAGAGGACAACGTCGCTGGCGGGCGGGCACGTGCACACGCAGGGATGGCAGCAGAGCCAGAGAGGAGAGATATGGGCGAGAACGAGTGGTGGACGAACGAGAAGTACATGGGTTGTTGCAACAAGAACACGTACTGGCTGGCTGCAGTTGCGGAAGGGAATGGAGAGAAGATGGCAGCATGAGAGGGCAGAGCAGGAGCATGGGGCACACACTGCACAATCGATATTATTCATAACATATGAAGCACGATGCACGGTACGTCGAAACCACCACGCCATGGTGCACGCTGCCATGCCATGGTGCATGCTGCCATGCTGTGGTGCATGCTGCCATGCCACGGTGCATGCTGCCATGCCACGGTGCACGTTGCCATGCCATGGTGCATGCTGCCATGCCATGGTGCGTGCTGCCATGCCATGTTGTATGCTGCCATGCCATGGTGCGTGCTGCCATGCTATGTTGTATGCTGCCATGCCACCCCTCACCTCCAAGGCACTCCAGCGGGACCAAGTGCTGACGTCAGATCACACCCACTAACGTCATCCTTGGCCCAAATCGGCCAATCACAGCGAAGCAGCGCAACGAGCCCATCCAATCGGCACTTCATAGCCAACTGCAGCAGATCCTGTGATGGTGAATGAGAGAGTGACACCTGTCCTGTGTAAATATACTCCAGCAACTGACTGAAGGCCTCAGCAGTCACACCCTTCCCCAGTCCCACCTCCCTCACAACCCCTGCGTGTGCACGTGCCCGCCCGCCAGCGCCAGCACCTGCACGTGCACGTGCCTCCCACCTCTCTCTCTCCAGCCCTTCTCCTCCTTCCCCAGCCAGTCTGTGCCCACTTGCCCCCTCGACCTTGCCTGGAACGGGAGGAGCGGGGCGGCTGGGAAGGGGGCGAGGGGGAGCGGGGCGGGCAGACGCGGAGGGGACCTTGAGGGGCGCGAGGAGGGCGGGGCAGCGCGCAGTGATGATTGCCCCGTGGGCCACGACTTGCTGAGGGGAGATGGCAGAGGAGGGCGGGGAGGAGAAGGGGTGGGAGAGGATGAAGGCCACATGCGCCCTGGCGCCTGCTGGACAGGACGTGCGAGGGGTGAAGGGCGTGTGCGTGGTGGCAGGGGGGGAGGATGGCGAAGGGGAGGCGGAGGAGCAGAGAGCAGAGCGGATGTGGCGAGCAACAGGAGAGGGCGCACCGATTGTGGAGGCACGCCATCGCAGGGCCGCGCAGACGCAGCAGGCACGGCAGGGGAGTGCGGGAGTGCTAGGGGCACGGAGCGGCAGAGGGAGAGGCAGCGGGCCGCGAGGCAGCGGAGCCCGGCAGGGGATGCGGGATGGAGAAGGCGAGCGAGCGAGGGGAGGAGGAGGGCGTGGGGGAGCGCAGGGTGAGGGGCTGATGGGAGGTCGGGTGGCGTGGGTGGGAGAGATGGCAGCACGGAGAGGGCGGAGGGTGGCGAGGTGGGGCGGTGCAGTACGGCGGATGGGGGGAGCAGGAGGGACAGGAGGGCTCAGGGCAGATAACAGGATGACGTCAGCAGAGTATGGAGCATGTGGCATGGCATGCCACTGATGGGCGTGCAGCAGAGGCGTGATGTCACCACCCTCCCCCACCTCACTGCGTGCCTCACTCCTGGCCTCACAACTTACCCCATCCCCCATCACCTCATCCTCCTCTCCCTCCAGCTCCCCCTCTTCCCACCACGCATCGCTCCTTTCCACCCATCCCCACTCATCCTCGTCCGCACCTGTGTCTCCACGTGACATCCGCCCTTCATCTGTCAACGCCTCCCCCTCCCTTGACCCTGCTCGCCCCTCGCCCTTCCTCCCATCCTCACCACTGCCCCTCGAATCTTCCCTCCCCCCCATCCACATCTCCACCCGTGCCACCACCACCGCCCCCACCGCCCGCACGCCTCCCTCCGCCCGCAACGCCTCCTGGCATCGCCAGTCAAACGCCAGAGCCGCCACCATGAGCAGCTTCGAGGAAGCTTCCACCTCGTCCCTGGGCGTGTTGGCCCCACACAGCACTGCAGCGGCGCGCTCCCTCTGCCCGCGCAAGCACAGGCGGCACGCCAGGGACGCGTGGCGCAGGGCAGAGGACGCCAGGGCGGCGATGGACAGCAGGTGGCGAGGGGAGGATGGGTGGGTCCCCTCAAATGCTCGGAACGGGGGGGCGCAGGTACGGGCGCCGCTGCTGCTGTCCCAAGTGCCTCCCTCACCTACTCCCCAGCCATGGTTGTGCCCCCCACTGGGCGTTGCAGCAGTCGCTGGTGCGGCAGGGATGTGAGGCACATGCGGGTCAGCTGGTGCTCGCCGTGGGCAAAGAAGCCGACGGACGGGTGCAGCTGTGAGCGCCTGGGAGAGAGCAGCACGCGATAGGAAGGAGAGGGCGGGGCAGGGGGAGGAGAGGAGAGCGAGGAGGGCGGAGAGCAAGGCATGGGCCGTGGCAGGTGGCAGTGTGGGGCGGGGGGAGCGCGAGGGCGAGGCAGAGGCAGCGGCAGGAAGAGGAGAGGGTAGGATGGTGGTGGGAGCGACAAGCGCGAGAAGGTGAGAGCTGCACACAGGTGAAGGTGAGAGCTGCACACAGGTGAAGGTGAGAGCTGCACACAGGTGAAGGTGAGAGCTGCACACAGGTGAAGGTGAGAGCAGCACACAGGTGAAGGTGAGAGCATCTGCACACAGGTGAAGGTGAGAGCTGCACACAGGTGAAGGTGAGAGCATCTGCACACAGGTGAAGGTGAGAGCTGCACACAGGTGAAGGTGAGGGCTGCACACAGGTGAAGGTGAGAGCTGTGCTGCAAAGTCAAGAGCACCAGCACACAGCTGCAAAGTCAAGACCACCAGCACACAGCTGCAAAGTCAAGACCACCAGCACACAGCTGCAAAGTCAAGAGCACCAGCACACAGCTGCAAAGTCAAGACCACCAGCACACAGCTGCAAAGTCAAGACCACCAGCACACAGCTGCAAAGTCAAGAGCACCAGCACACAGCTGCAAAGTCAAGACCACCAGCACACAGCTGCAAAGTCAAGACCACCAGCACACAGCTGCAAAGTCAAGAGCACCAGCACACAGCTGCAAAGTCAAGAGCACCAGCACACAGCTGGAAAGTCAAGACCACCAGCACACAGCTGCAAAGTCAAGACCACCAGCACACAGCTGCAAAGTCAAGACCACCAGCACACAGCTGCAAAGTCAAGACCACCAGCACACAGCTGCAAAGTCAAGACCACCAGCACACAGCTGCAAAGTCAAGAGCACCAGCACACAGCTGGAAAGTAAAGAGCACCAGCACACAGCTGGAAAGTCAAGAGCACCAGCACACAGCTGCAAAGTCAAGAGCACCAGCACACAGGTGCAAAGTCAAGACCACCAGCACACAGCTGCAAATTCAAGAGCAGCAGCACACAGCTGCAAAGTCAAGAGCACCAGCACACAGCTGGAAAGTCAAGACCACCAGCACACAGCTGCAAAGTCAAGACCACCAGCACACAGCTGCAAAGTCAAGACCACCAGCACACAGCTGCAAAGTCAAGACCACCAGCACACAGCTGCAAAGTCAAGACCACCAGCACACAGCTGCAAAGTCAAGACCACCAGCACACAGCTGCAAAGTCAAGACCACCAGCACACAGCTGCAAAGTCAAGAGCACCAGCACACAGCTGCAAAGTCAAGAGCACCAGCACACAGCTGCAAAGTCAAGAGCACCAGCACACAGCTGCAAAGTCAAGAGCACCAGCACACAGCTGCAAAGTCAAGACCACCAGCACACACCTGCAAAGTCAAGACTACCAGCACAGTCCCTCCTTTTTACCACTGCCCTCCTCCCCTCACCATGCCAGCGCTGCCACGGCCTCCATGCCTGCATGCCGCTCCATGCCCCCCTGCCCCTCCCCACCTCCTCCGGTCCGGCCGTTCCTCCCGCCCGCCACGCCCCTGCTCTCACCGCTCTCGCCTGTCTTCACACGCCCTCTGCTTCCCGCCTCCTTCGCCTTCACTATAGTCACACACTGCCACATGGCAGAAAGCTGCTATCCATCTGACTGCCTGCCATGCTGCAGCCGCCACGGCTTCTGAGCTCGCCGCGTCCGCCGACACCTCCTTCCTCCCACCCACCTCGTTCCTCCCACCCAAGGTGCAAAAGAATGGCTTTTTTTTACTTTTTTTTACCGTATAAAACGGGATTGTATAAAACGGCAGTTTAATACGATTAAAACGGTCAAAAGTGGTGTTTTCTGACTGGTGCAGAAAAACTGCCGTTTTATACGGTCGTTTTTTTCATACCGCCGTAAAAAACGGAAGTTCGCTTTATATCGAGGAGGGTGAGGAAGGTGAGGAGGAGGGCGACTAGAGCGAGGGAGGGGAGAACTAGGGCGGGGAGGAGGAGCAGAGCCGGAGTAGAGTCGGAGGACTAGGAGGAGGACAACTAGGAGGGTGAAGGAAGGGCGAGAAGGGCAATGAAAGCAGGTCTAGGAGGACGAGATGGTGTTTTAAATGCACGTAGGCTGTCGCCGCTCTGTTTCCCAGCGTTTTTTTTAAGCTAAGGGTGGAAAAAAAAAAAAAAAAAAAAGGGGGGGAAATAAACTTTAACAAAAAAACGGTAGAATTTGCATAAATCTGCCGTATAAAACGACCGTAAAAAACGGATCGTTTAATACAGAAACCGTTTTTTTGCACCTTGCTCCCACCCACCTCGTTCCTCCCACCCACATCGTTCCTCCCACCCACCTCGTTCCTCCCACCCACCTCGTTCCTCCCACCCACCCTCCCATCGCCCCCCGCCCCGCCCACCGCCCCTCCGCTGCTCGCCTCTCCACATTCTGACTCTCCTTCCACCTCGCTGCCCAACAGGGCATGCATCAACGCAGATGCAGACAAGTGCACCGCCCACAGCACGGCCGGGTCATGATGGGTGCCCGGCCAGCGCAAGACACTTGCTGCAGTCTGCCAGCCAGCTGCTGCCACATGGCTGGCTGCTGAGTCATCGTGCGCTGAGCTGGCAGGGAAAGAGGCAGATGAGATGAGGCGGAGCGAAGGAGGGTGGGAGCAGTGGCAGGGAGGGAGGGGGAGGCGTTCGAGGGCTGCTCGCAGGGAGAAGGCGAGGAGGGATGTGAGGGGCGACGCAGTCGTGGCAGTGGCAGCAGCAGTGGGGGAGGGAGATGCATGACGGCAGGCAGCAGCGAAGGACGGGTGGCTCTGCGCACAGGCAGGGTAGCAACAGGATCAGCAGAATCGATGGGGGTTGACACGGATTGGTTGCGGACAGTGAGAGACTGATGACGTGGCTGCAGTGGGTGGATGAGGTGATGTAGCAGCAGAGCCGGGAGGGGCATATGGTGGTGGACACTAGACGCATGTGGGTGCGGGAGGATGCTTGGTGAAGTGAGGTTGCAGTGGCGGCACGCACGCATTGCGCCAACGGCAGTGATGGTATAACTGGCACGGATAGAACTTGACAGTTGGAACGATGCTTGCGACGAGTGAGAGTTGCGACGAGTGAGAGTTGCGACAAGTGAGAGTTGCGACGAGTGAGAGTGATGACGAGTGAGAGTGGTGACGAGGCGCAACAGCGTGATGAGAGAGGCAGAGGCAGAGGAACGTACCGCAAGTGCTCGCACGAGGGCGAGGGCGGCTTGGCAGCACGCGGGACAGGCGATGAGGAAGGTGCAGGAGGGGGAGGAGAATGAGGAGGAGCGGGAAGATGGGGAGGGCGTGAGATGGCGGGCGAGAGCTGGGAGGAGGTCAAGAGGCGGCCGCAGCAGCATGTGGCACACCGAGGAGTCCTGTGCTGTGAGGCGATTGGTGGAGGAGAAAGGACGAGGGGGAGATGAAAAGACATGCACGGATGATGACGACAGAACACACCGATGGATTGAGAGACTGCAGCATGGATATGGCAGGCTCACCCATGACGTTGAGAAGGCTCAATGCTGCTTCCGCCACCGCACCATCATCCGCGTGGCCGCCGCTCGCCGCTGCCACGCCCACCACCTGTGCCATGCGCCACACCCTCTCCACTGTGTGCCCTCCAGTCGCTCCTCCCCCCCCACCTGCACTCTCTTGACTGCCAGCCAAAAGGCCACCGCTGCAGCGGGAGGAGCTCTCTCGTGATCTCTGAGAGGGCGGGCGGCCAGCGGTGCGCGAGCAGCTGCAGCACGTGCAGCACTGCCGCCACCGCTGCTGGCCTCCGCGCCTCCCAGGGCGCTCTGTGCTGGCAGGCAGGCCTGCTGCTGCTGCTGGTGGTGGTGGCGTTTTCTGTATTGCAATCCAGGGCTCTGCTTTTGTCCGTGCTGCAGTGTGCTCTTGACTCGCACTGCCCCGTATCCTCCCTCCCTGCAGAAGGTGGGGCGGCGGTGTGAGAAGCCGCAGCAGCAGGAAGAGGCGCAGAAGCAGTGGCACTGTGAGCATGGCGGTAGCAGTTGGCACTTGTGTCCTTCCCTGCCCTGCCAACACCACCATCCCCCCCTCTCACCCGCATTCCCCCTCCCCCCATCACCCCCCTCCCATCCCCCCTGCCTGCTGGCCCCCACAGCCACTCCGCTGCCCGCCCCACCACCCCCCCTCCTAGCGGCCCTGCCTTCCGCCCTTCCCCCCCATCCCTGCACGCGGTGCCAGGCGCAGGCGTGGCGGGCGACAGATAGAGGCGCCACAGCGAGGTGAGGACGGCAGGGGTGAGGCAGGCGGAAGCGAGCGGCAGGGAGAGGGGAGGGGAAGGAGGGGAAGGGAGGTGGATCGTGGAGGGGGAGAGTGCGAGGAGGGAGGAGGGGAGGGCGGGTATGGGGGCGTTGGTGAGTGGGCGAGAGAGGGGTTGAAGGGGAGGATGAGGAGGAGGCAGCGACGGCAGTGCAGGCGCCCAACGCCACCTCATCCGCGGGGACCGGCGCGAGAGCGCGGACAAAGTGCACAAGGGGGCATGGAAGGGCAAGCGTAAGGGCATGGGGTGGGGCTTGGTTGCAGTGAAAGGCAAGGTAAGACGGGCGAAGGAGGGCAGGTAAATGGGCAACGAAGTGGAGAAGAGGAGGAGAGCGAGCCAAGAGGTGGTCCACGGCAGCATGCAGTGCACGCGGCGCCTGTGACACTCCGCCACTGTGTACCCCCCCCAAGGCAAGCCAAGGCACATAGATGGCTTCGCACTGCCCCTGTGAGAGCACTCATGACTCGCACCTCACGGGTGGGCGGCAGGGAACGCACGTGGGAAGGTGAACGAGGGAAGACGCCTTGGGAGAGTTAGATAATAGCATGCACGTGGGCAAGGGAGCCAATGGCGTGCAGTACAAGCCGAGGCAACAGGGGTGGACGACGTGGACGGGCATGCATGCATGCACTACCTGCTGCACCCATATAAATGGCACGTTGTTGAACGCCACAAGAAGTGCCTTTCACATCCACTAGCCCTTCCCCTAACCTCTCTCCATCCCCACTCCCCCCTCGCTACCCCCTCGCCCAGCAGCACCCATCCAGGAGCCCTGCACCTCACCCCCATTCAACAGACAGCCACACTCGCCTTCACTGCTCGCCGGCACGCCACGTCACTCCACAGAGGCATCTCGTTGGTCGCCACGAACTCAAGCAATCGCTGCAAGCCGTAGAAGCTGACTGTGCAGGGCAGTGTCGCAGGAAGCCCACTGCCACTGCCACGTGTCCTGCCATGGACCGGCTGCCTGCCACGTGGCAGCAGCAGTTGAAGCAGGACGCGTGGATGCAAGGATTGACGGCGATGGTCCTGCGGCCATGCCAGCATGCAGATCAGTACACAATTAAAGAGCATGTCGGCATGTCAGCATGTCGGCATGTCAGCATGTTAGCATGTTAGCATGTGAGCATGTCAGCATGACGTTAGCATGTTAGCATGTCAGCAGCATGGCAGCATGGCATCATGGCGCAACGCCATGGCATGTCATGCCGGTGACTCAAGGAGGACAGGAAGGCCATATCGAACGATCATCGCCAGCCATGGGCAGCCAGCAACGATAGCCCAGCAGCCGTGCGCCCGCACCCGTCCCTCTGCCCCACACCCTTCTTCACCCCTCCCCCTCCCGTCCGCATCCATTCTCGACCAGCGTGCGACCCTCTACTTCACGAAAAACCTACTCCGAAAACTGTCCTAAATGAGTCTCTAAGCTTTGCTGGAAGCACTGCTTGGGCGGCAATGCTTGGGGATAATCAACGGTTCCCAATTTTCTCCTCGGAAGTACCTCTCCCACCCTGTGACTCGCGACGTCACCTCTTCTCCCCTGTCCGCTCTCCCCTCTCCCCACTCCTCTCTCCTCTCTCCTCTCTCCTCTCTCCTGCCTTCTCGCGCCCGAACTCTAGTGTCTGCCGCCATGCGTTTGCTGGAGCGGAGAGGACGAAGGCGAGGGCGATTGAGAGGGGGGGGATATGAGCACTGGACTGGCGCCAGTGGAATAGAAGCCTGAGAAGCGACTCGAGGCGACGCGAGGCGACGCCAGGCGACGCGAGGCGAGGCGATCGCACCTTTCCAGGCGACGGCGAGGGCGGCCGCGAATGGCTTCCGCGCCTCGTCCAACGACCGCTGCAGCTGCCGCCGCCGCGACTCGCGCGACTCCCGCTCCCCCTCCCTCTCGCGGCCCTTACCACTCGCCCCGCCGCCATCGCCTCGCTGCGATCTGTCCTGCGGCGCTAGGCGCACTCGCGCGTGACGCGACGCATCCATGGCGGTCATAACGATGGGCGGCGCGCCATCGAGGCGGTAACGGATCACTCGTGCTTTCGCTGGTAACCCTGTGCTATACCTCAGTAAAATCGAACAAGGCGAAATACAGTAGGGAGGTAGGGTCGGGTGGTCTGCTGTTGATCAAGCCACGCGGGATGTACACATTACAGCAGACTTGTGATGAATCTATAATCCGACAATGTAAGGCAAAAACAAATGACCATAATCTTTGCAGCAGGACATGTCTTAACGGAACTCCCTGGCCATACTCCCCCCCTTCCGCCAGCAGTGCCTCTTCCCACTTCTCACTCCTGATCTCCGCCGTGTGATCCGCTCAGCTATCATCCCTTCGTTCCGCACTGCTCTCTCTCTCTCTCTCTCTCGTTCACTTCTCTCCATTACTTCGTTGCTATCCACCGCACCTTCCCTTACCGCAGTTGACCGCATTGCTTCCGCGTTATCCCCCCTTCCGTCGCCTCAAGCTCTCTCTCTCGCCCTCGGACCGTCTCCTCTCGCCTGCTCCTCCCCGCCACGCCGCGCCGGGCGGGGCAGCGCGGCGTGGGGCGTGCCATCGCCAGCGCGCCATGAGGGGTGGCCCTGTGGGCCTGCACTGCCCGCTGGCAGGGACGCCTTGCCAACCGCACGACAGCACTTATGCAAGCTTAGGTGGGCGGTTGGCGTCGCGGTGTAGAACGCTGCTGGGCGACGCGAGCAGTTCCAGACGGCGTCCAGGCGATTTGTCACGGCGACAGTCGCATGGTCGCCTGCGATTTTCTGCACGGTGTGAGGTAGCCGCACGGCAGCCGTCACTTGTGCCATCGCCATCGCCCCTCGTTTCCTTCTGCGCATGGCCCCTCGTTTCCTTCCGCGCATGGCCCCTCGTTTCCTTCCGCGCATGGCCCCTCGTTTCCTTCCGCGCATGGCCCCTCGTTTCCTTCCGCGCATGGCCCCTCGTTTCCTTCCGCGCATGGCCCCTCGTTTCCTTCCGCGCATGGCCCCTCGTTTCCTTCCGCGCATGGCCCCTCGTTTCCTTCCGCGCATGGCCCCTCGTTTCCTTCCGCGCATGGCCCCTCGTTTCCTTCCGCGCATGGCCCCTCGTCTCCCCGCCGCCCTCTCCTCTTCCCGTCCCCCCCACTCCTGCCCCCTCCCTCCGCGCCCGCGACGCCAGCTCGCGCCACCCCCAAAGATCGCGGTGCGCGGTCTGTCCCGGCGGGCGGCGAGCACGGGCGCGCTCGTCCTGGACGCGGTGAGTCTGGACGTGGCGGCGGGGCAGCTGTTCGGGCTCATCGGGCCGTCGGGCAGCGGCAAGTCGACGCTGCTGCGCGCCATCAACCGCCTGTGGGAGCCGGAGCGGGGGCGCATCTTCGTGGACGGGCGCGACGTGACGGGCATGGACGTGCAGCAGCTGCGGCGGCGCGTGGGCATGGTGTTCCAGAGCCCGCACCTCTTCCCTGGTGCGCCCTCTTCGCCTCGCCCCTCCCCCCTCCCACCATCCCTCACGTCACTTCTACTTCTCCCCTCCTCGCTCCTACTTTCTCCGTGATTCTTCTTTTGGACAGCCGTCCACAACCTTTCTAAGTGTCCAATGCGTCGTAGGTCGTCCTTGCGCATGGTGCACGTGGTGCACGTGGTGCACGTGTCCGTCGCCTTCCATCTCCCGCCACTCCCTGCACGAGGTCACCCCGTCCTCCCACCTTCCCTGCATATGCTGTGCGTCGTGGCGCTCGCCCTCTCCTCGTCACTTCACTTCCCGCCCTGCATCCCTGCAGCACAGCATGCAAGCAGCGGAAAGTGCCGGAGAACAAGTAGCACCAGTTCCTCCTCCTGCTGTGCTGCACAGAACCTTGCCTTGAGCTCGTTCACAGGCCGACTCTCCTCCCACTCCCCATTTCACCATCACCATCACTCCTCCCCCTCCCCCCATCCGCACGGTGCTGACAGCGTGCAATGCGGGCCAGTTCTGCCGGGTGACACCGTCCACGTTGCTTGAGACAGCACAGAACCCCACTTTCCACCTCTCCCTACACCTGCCTCCCTCCAACCCCCCCTCCCCCAGGCACGGTGGCGGACAACGTGCGGTACGGGCCGGCCCTGCAGGGCATCGCGCTCGGCACGGAGGACCTGCAGAGCCTGCTGCTGCGTGCGGGGCTCGACCCCTCCGCCGCCTTCCTGCAGCGCTCCGCCCTGGAGCTGTCCGGGGGCGAGGCGCAGCGTGTGTCCATCGCGCGCGCCCTGGCCAACTCGCCCGAGGTGTTTCTGCTGGACGAGCCCACGAGCTCGCTGGACCCCACGGCCACGCGCAAGGTGGAGGAGACCATGGAGCGCCTGAGGCGGGACGAGGGGCTCACCGTCGTCGTGGTCTCGCACAGCATGCCGCAGATCGAGCGCGTGGCCGACGTGACGGCGCTGCTCAGCCAGGGCCGGGTGGTGGAGATCGGGCCGCCTGGGGAGCTGCGGGACAGCGACAACCCGGATGTCGCCAGCTTCTTCACGGGGGAGCTCAGCTGAGGCGCGAGGACGGTAGTGGTAAGGGAAGTGCAGGGCCTCTGGTGTACAGAAAACACGGGTGGCACGTTCGTATCAGTGATGTTTAGTATGTAACTCCCGTCTCTGTGATGCCATTTCTCGCCTCCCGCACTGTGGGGGAGACATCCTATGTGCTTGGAATCTCCCCTGCTGTGGTTCCAAAAAAAACTGCCTCAGATGAGTTGCTTGCAGGTACTGCATGAGGCAAATGCCATCCTAAACTACCACGGGCAAGTCTATGATATGATGCGGGAATTCACCCTAGAAGAACCTTAGAAATTCTTATTGTAAAGAAAACAATGAGGTATTTTCCAGTATAGATGCATGATAGTCCAGGTAAGAAGCCGTGCAGTGCAGCAAATCCACAGCCAGTGGAACACAAACTATGTACAGCTGCACGCATTCTGTGATGAGGCCCCCCCAGTATTACGATAGGAGCCATGCATGCTTGCTGTGAGAGCTTCACCACCCATCGCCGCCCTCGCGGGGACGCTGCTCGCAGGAAGCCCACCGCGTGAGGCGGACATTCGAGGCCAGCCCTTGGCTCCTGGCGCTCCGACCGGCATGGCTGCTGCTACGGCGGGTGCTGCGTGGCGCTCTGTGGCCGCCGATCTCCGGCGCTGACTGCGCGCGAGGGATCTCGCCAGCCCCCGCCGCCGCTGCCTCGCGACTGTGACTGTAGCGAGACGCCATTCTCCTCCCGCTGCCCGACTCCCAGTCGTGTCGCAATTCGTCGCCATCACTCTCTCCCTCCCTCAGGAACGACTGTAACCTGGTAACGAACTGTTCGCAGCGGATCGCATTGAGTTCGCGCTGAGCGTCCAGCAGCGAGAGGCAGCCTTCCAGCGCGAGTAGATCGAGATCCGTGCTGCCGTGCACGAGGCGAAAGGAAGGGACCTGCTCCTTGCGACACGTGGCGAGAACAGCCCGCGATTGCCGGGAGGAGAAGTGGAGGCGTGAGTCGGTCATCAACTCGGTTGCTGCCATTTTCCGTCGAGCTAGGTCAACAGTCTGTTGGTATGGTGTACCCCGTGACTGAAGGCCCTTGCCTGTCGTTGAGGTGAGAAGAACGAGCGATGCTGGGAGGGTTATTAATCGGCGGGTAGCTGAGATGCAGGGAGCAGACGACGGTGCTTTATGGCCATCCGGGGCAGCTCTCCCAGTCGGGCCGGGTCCGATGGACGCGACGAGTCTCGTCTCGGACGTCGCACAGTACAGTACCTTGGAACACGGCCTAGCACACTGTAGCGCCTCACTCGCCCTCACTGAACGCCTGCTTCAACCGTAAGCAACGCTGGCGGAGGATCCTAGATTGTCAGATTGATCAGCGGCGCTGACAGTCGAGTGATCTCCGGAACCAAGGTGGAGGGAGAATCCACCAATCGGGAGGCACCATAACGGACAAAAGACGATACACCGAGTTGGCGCCTTTGATCTGCCTTCGGCTCAGCCGTTGCTGTGACCTGTGATGAAGGTTGGGCCCTCCAAATGCAAGCCCCAGGATGCTCCTAGATCGCCTCCCCCCTGGCGGAGTGTGGCTCGGCACGGGACTCATCATGAAGTCATCGCGAAGGCGTAAGGTACAGATGATATCGATTCCCGATGGGGTACACGTCTTCAGTAGACTGAGGCGATTCGAAAGGGAAGTAAACCACACAGATTCCACTGTCGAAGCCGTAAGAACGTGTGCTGTACATGCAGCGAGACCGAACCGTGAATCTTGCTGAAGTGCATTTTCCAGAATGCTTGGCATCTGCCACGCCTTCCCCGACCGCTCAGACGCAGTGCAAGCTGGTTGCAAGCTGGAGCCTCTTGCCTCCCTTGTTTCGCGATTGCGAGAGATCGCCGAAACAAGTGAGGCTTTCGCTTCCCTCGCTGCCCTCAATCCTGGCTGATCTCTCCTCCAACAGTTGCGATTGCGGCGGCTGCGATTGGCTGACCGGAAAAGCCAGATTTGATCGTGGCACCACGGGTGTCCTCGTGCCATGAGGGCGTGGTGCCTACGGTTCGGATAACACAATTCCGAAAATGAGTTCCGAAGTTCCACGTGTCCGAACCAGACAAGTCTGGTACATTGAGTTCCGAGCACCCCTCTGTCCGGACAGGAAAGTCTGGTACCTTCCGTCCGAGACGAATACCCTAAAATTCACATTTTCGAATGACCTAAATGACGAACTATAACGAAAACGCATGAAACCAACAAGTTCGAGCGAAAATACCCCTAACCGCCACCCCTACCAACCCATAGCGCGAAATGTCGCCATAACGCTGGGCGAAAACTGCAACTGTGTTTCCCGCTCACAATTTTCGCCTTGTCGCTCGGGCACGGAAAAGTTTCGGAAATGACGAATTTCCAATCAGACGGACGTACGGACGCTCCGTCCGGACGTAGGGTACCACACCTTGTTCGGACGGACGGGGTATTCCGGACGTGATTGGCAAACTCATGCGCGAGTAATGGCGAAAAGTATTACCCTTTTCGTCGGCGGACGGAACTCAGTTCCGAAACCCAAGTCACCACGCCCTGAGACTCTGTTTGTGCCCACAACAAACAGCTTCACATCAGGGCTCTCGCTAAGCTTTTTAAGTACAGGACTCTGTTTCTCCCAGAACCCCCCTGTTAGAATACTAGAATAAATAGAAACAAGAGAGAACAAGCAAGATATAGGGTTGGGTTGTACTCTCTAAGAACATACACCTATTCTAGCCCATGGCTGATATTATCAGACTATTTTAGTCTGATTGTCTGAAATTTCAGACCAATTTTTTTGTCAAACCTGATTCTTCAGACTTGCCATTTTCTGAATGCTGAACCCTAAAGAGTTATATATTTTTGAATCCTGAGAATCTCAGACTTTGCAGTTAGCGGATACTGAGTTTTCAGAGCGCAGCGCGTACGGACCCTGAGACACATACTGCACCTACCTGCCCTCTGAAGTAAATCGTCTGGTGTTGTAGTAGACTAAGTATAAAACTATAAACACGAACACTTGGCAAATCCTCAAGTGTTGGTCCAGGATCTTTGCTGGAATGGTAGACTAGTAAGACAGCGGAAGTCTTGTAAATGTAATAGTCAAGGTTGAATAACCTGAGTACGTGAACTTGTGTGTAATCAAAAGTTAATAATGAAAAGACCTGACAAGGATTTATAGTTCTAGCAAAAGTACCTATTCGTTAATGTACCTGTTCGTCACTATCGCGCTATGCGCCCTAGATGATAATGAAGAGTTGCGAGTGTTCGCGTGACTGAAAACGACTGTCCAATGACGAGCGCTATTTGCTGACGTCATCATACGGACTTATCTTCTACAGTATGATTCGACACTAACTACACTTAATCGACTTACAGAAATGCTAAGTATCAATTATATCACAACACTCCCCTTCATTTCTGGAACGTCGATAGTGTCACTTCTTGAAGATTCCGCAGAGCTTGTTACAGTATTGAAACTTCTGTCGTGTCAGCTTCTTCGTGAGAAAATCGGCAGCCATTTCGTTGGCCGAACAGTAGACCAATCGCATCCTCCCCTTCTCAACTTCATCTTTGACGAAAAAGTAACGAAGCGAAATATGCTTCGTCCTGTTGACGAAACCAGGTTGATGTGCGATGCGAATTGCACTTTGATTGTCGCACTGTAGGGTAAACTGGGTAGTTGTCGTCAACTTCGCTTCTTCCAATAGTTCTTGTAAGTAAAGTCCTTCGCGTGTTGCTGTGCAGACATCAATAAACTCGGCTTCAGCAGAGGAGAGTGCAATTAGCTCCTGCTTCGTAGAATTCCAAGAGATAGGTCCGATAGGTTCCAGTCGATAGATGAACCCAGTGCGCGACCGTCGATTAGTAGAATCAGCAGCGTGATCGGCGACGACAAAACCGTATAGATAGAGTGTTTTACAGCCGATGACGTTGTAGACTAATCCGACGTCAGGTGTCGAGATAAAATACTGAAGCGCACGAAGTAGATCAAGCTGATGCTCCTCCTCGGGACGGCGTAGAAACTGAGCGAGCTGACTGACCGCGTAGGCTAGATCAGGACGACAAGCGACAGCTGCGAAAAGTAGACAACCTAGTTGCTGTTGATAGATCTGTAAACCAGTTGAAGTTAACAGTGCGGTGTTCGGTTTGTGGTCAGTCGGTAGTGAGCGGTACGGTGTAGAGACTGTAGTAGGCGTGAGGTTGAAGCGGGCAGCGAGTGTTGCTGCATACTTAGAAGCGGTGAGATGAATAGTTGTCGGTGAACTGGTAATGTTCAGGCCAAGAAACTGTGAGACTGTTTCGGAGACGGTAATTTGTAGATTTTCCTGTAGTTTCAGTATGAAGATATCAGCGAGGGAATCGGTAGTACTGACGAATAGGATGTCGTCGACGTAGGCAACGAGTAAAATGTAGTTGCTGCCGTCGGTCAGTCGATACATTCCCTGATCATGCGGTAACTGTCGAAATCCTGCAATGATCAGCTGCGAGTGAAGATACTGCTGCCAGAGCCGTGGTGCCTGTTTAATGCCGTACAGAGATTTTTGTAGACAGCAAACGCTCGGTGGGTTAGTAGTATAAGAATGCGGGTACTCTACCAGGATGAGTGCGTCGACGGGTGCGTAGAGAAATGCATTCGATACGTCGATTTGGCGAAGACGTAGATTACGGCAGGCGGCGTCACAAAGGAGAATCCGAACACTTGTATGTCGGTCGACAGGAGCAAAGGTTAGTTCATAGTCAATGCCGTAAGTCTGCTCGAATCCGCGGACGACCCATCGTGCTTTGAACTTTTCAAACGACCCATCTGCATTAGTCTTGACGCGGAAGACCCATTTTCCGGTAAGTACCTTCTTCCCTTTAATCTCTGAAGTCGGTATTAAATCCCATGTGCCGCGACTCTTGAGTGCTGCTAGCTCCTTGTCCATGGCTTCACGCCATTTTTCTCGGTGAGGACTCGTAAGAGCTTGTCGGACGGTTTTCGGTTCAGGTATCTTACTGTCGTTGTGCTGTACTGCTACTGCAAATCCAGTATCTGCAATCCTGTTTCTGTAAAACGCGGACGTTCTTCGTTTGCACCTGCGAAATTTTCTTCTGGTCCTTCTTCCCCCCCAATTTCGTCAGGTGTAACACGAACTGTTTCGTCGGAGACGACGGGCATTGGCTGTTGTTGGCGATCACTTTCGTAACTGAGATGGACTTCGCGAACGTCATCCGGGTCAGCATCTGCAAAAGGAATGAATTCAGGTATGCCAGTCGAGGTTACAGGTTCGGGAATGTCAGTTGCGGCAGCTTCGGATGCTTCAGAAACTGCTTCGTCCTGTACATCAGCTTCGGCCTCGTCAGTGGCAAACGCACGCGAGCCTTCGAACAGCCTGGCGGGGTTGGCAGCTGCTGCCTGGTGGGCACGAAAAACGGGCAAGGTGAGTCTTTCATAGAAAAGACAATCACGTGACGGGATGATTTGGTTTGAGCGGAGATCCAAAATCTTCCACGCATGATACTGTTTTTCGATGCCGAGCTGTACCCCCCATTTTGCTCGTTCGGGAAATTTGCCGAGAGCGGCAGTTGGAGGACGAAACTGTACAACACACCCGAAAACTCGTAAAAGTTTTGTACTCCCCACTGTACGTGTCCACTGCAGGTGTGGAGAAGAGAACTCGGGCAGGGATGTTGAAGAAATAAGATTGTGTAACAGCACGGCGTGGTCCATCGCATACGGCCAAAAATGTGGTGGAAGTGCTGCCTGCGTCAGCAGAGCACGCATCTTCTCCTGTAGAGTTATGTTCATCCTTTCTGCTACTCCCATCTGTTGGTGTGCATGTGGCAGCGACTGCTTCCGTTTGATGCCGAGGGTCTGAAGGTATTCTGTGAAGGTGTTGCTGGTGTACTCCCCTGCACCATCACTTTGAAATTCTTGCAGTTTCACGCCTGACTCTCGTTCAGCGACAGCGAGCCACGTGACGAAGACGGAGTGAGCGAGATGCCGCGCAGGTAAGTTTGCTGTCCAGACATAGCGTGTAGACGCCTCGATGAAAGTGATCACATACTTCTCGTCTTTAGGTCCTGCTTCAGACAAGTTGAGTATGTCGTTGTAGGCTTTCTGCATCAGTTTATAACGTGTTGAGCCAGGAAAGTGACTTGGAAATGGATCGTGCGTAAGGTTGGCAACTGGACAGGTGGTGCAAACCGTCGGACGAGACTGCGGCTTCATCTCCGTGCCATCAGGTAAAAGTAAACTGTTTTTATCAAGAACTGCTGCTCGGATTGAATGATTTAGAATTCCTTGTGATGAATGTCCTAACCGCTAATGCCATATATCTTCTGTGGTTTTGTGTCCTGATGATCGCAGGTAAAAATCGGAGTAAGTATAAAAGGAGAAAGAGCTGGTGACTTGTCAGTTTCTCCTTCGATGAAACGGGTAAGAGATAAAGTAACAGCCGTTGGTGTGGTTAAAGGTATGATTGCAACTGCTGATGCTGCTTCTGTTGATGTCGTGGCAGGTGTTTCGGCGGCAGCTACTGTTGGACTCAGTTGCTCAGCTACTGCTTCCTGTTTTGCTTCTCCAACGACATCAGGTTCGTCAGCTGCAAGACCACTTATCTCTCCCCAAAGTGGTGCTGGAGTTCCTTGAAAGGCTGCTCGGGTATTATAAAAGGTGCGCCAAGCATTGGCGCTTTCATCGGCGGTATTAAACTCCCAGGTATCCAACGCGGTAAGTACGGCTGCTGCAGTTTGAGAA